CCTCTCCCCTCACTGCCTCTCCCCTCCACTGCCTCTCCCCTCACTGCCTCTCCCCTCACTGCCTCTCCCCTCACTGCCTCTCCCCTCACTGCCTCTCCCCTCATGCCTCTCCCTCACTGCCTCTCCCCTCATACTGCCTCTCCCCTCACTGCCTCTCCCCTCACTGCCTCTCCCTCACTGACCTCTCCCCTCACTGCCTCTCCCCTCACTGCCTCTCCCCTCACTGCCTCTCCCCTCACCTGCCTCTCCCCTCACTGCCTCTCCCTCCCCTCACTGCCTCCTCCCCTCACTGCCTCTCCCCTTCCACTGCCTGCTCCCCTCACTGCCTCTCCCCCTCAAACTGCCTCTCCCCTCATGCCTCTCCCCTCACTGCCCTCTCCCCTCACTGCCTCTCTCTCCCTTCACTGCCTCTCCCCTCACTGCCTCTCCCCTCACTGCCTCTCCCCTCACTGCCTCTCCCCTCACTGCCTCTCCCCTCACTGCCTCTCCCCTCACTGCCTCTCCCCTCACTGCCTCTCCCCTCACTGCCCTCCCCCCCCCCCCTCACTGCCTCTCCCCTCACTGCCTCTCCCCTCACTGCCGCTCCCCTCACTGCCTCTCCCCTCACTGCCTCTCCCCTCACTGCCTCTCCCCTCACTGCCTCTCCCCTCACTGCCTCTCCCCTCACTGCCTCTCCCCTCACTGCCTCTCCCCTCACTGCCTCTCCCCTCACTGCCTCTCCCCTCACTGCCTCTCCCCTCACTGCCTCTCCCCTCACTGCCTCTCCCCACACTGCTTCTCCCCTCACTGCCTCTCCCCTCACTGCCTCTCCCCTCACTGCCTTTCCCCTCATTGCTTCTCCCCTTATGCCTCTCCCCTCACTGCCTCTCCCCTCATGCCTCTCCCCTCACTGCCTCTCCCCTCACTGCCTCTCCCCTCACTGCCTCTCCCCTCACTGCCTCTCCCCTCACTGCCGCTCCCCTCACCGCCTCTCCCCTCATGCCTCTCCCCTCACTGCCTCTCCCCTCACTGCGTCTCCCCTCACTGCCGCTCCCCTCACTGCCTCTCCCCAAACTGCCTCTCCCCTCATGCCTCTCCCCTCACTGCTCCTCCCCTCACTGCCTCTCCCCTCACTGCCTCTCCCCTCATGCCTCTCCCCTCACTGCCACTCCCCTCAATTCCTCTCCCCTCACTGCCTCTCCCCTCACTGCCTCTCCCCTCACTGCCTCTCCCCTCACTGCTGCTCCCCTCACTGCCTCTCCCCTCACTGCTTCTCCCCTCATGCCTCTCCCCTCACTGCCTCTCCCCTCACTGCCTCTCCCCTCATGCCTCTCCCCTCACTGCCTCTCCCCTCACTGCCACTCCCCTCACTGCCTCTCCCCTCACTGCCTCTCCCCTCACTGCCTCTCCCCTCATGCCTCTCCCGTCACTGCCTCTCCCCTCACTGCCTCTCCCCTCATGCCTCTCCCCTCACTAGACATGAGCAATGAGGCGAGGATTTCCTCGCCTCGGAAATCCTCGCCTCGAAATTCCGGGGGTCGAGGCAGGTTTTCTGGGAAAATTCCTCGCGAGGATTCCTCGCCCCGCCCCGGCGAGGATTCGAGGCCTCGATTTTTCCTCGAGGCAAATGGGCGAGGATGTTCCCATTACCCCCCCCCCCCTAACCCCCCAGCCGCCCAGGTCAAGGAATCCTCGCCCCGGGTCAAGGAATTAATCCTCGAGGCGAGGATTTCAATCCTCGACCCCAAAACCGCGGGGTCGAGGGGGGATTTTCATGAAAAATCCTCGGCGAGGATTCCTCGACCCGCCCCGGCTAGGGCGCGAGGATGAGATCCTCGGGTCAAGGAATCCTCGCCTCGCCCCGTGCTCATGTCTACCCCTCACTGCCTCTCCCCTCACTGCCTCTCCCCTCACTGCCTCTCCCCTCACTGCCTCTCCCCTCACTGCCTCTCCCCTCACTGCCTCTCCCCTCACTGCCTCTCCCCTCACTGCCTCTCTCCTCACTGCCGCTCCCCTCACTGCCTCTCCCCTCACTGCCTCTCCCCTCACTGCCTCTCCCCTCACTGCCTCTCCCCTCACTGCCTCTCCCCTCACTGCCTCTCCCCTCACTGCCGCTCCCCTCACCGCCTCTCCCCTCATGCCTCTCCCCTCACTGCCTCTCCCCTCACTGCGTCTCCCCTCACTGCCGCTCCCCTCACTGCCTCTCCCCAAACTGCCTCTCCCCTCATGCCTCTCCCCTCACTGCCCCTCCCCTCACTGCCTCTCCCCTCACTGCCTCTCCCCTCATGCCTCTCCCCTCACTGCCTCTCCCCTCAATGCCTCTCCCCTCACTGCCTCTCCCCTCACTGCCTCTCCCCTCACTGCCTCTCCCCTCACTGCTGCTCCCCTCACTGCCTCTCCCCTCACTGCTTCTCCCCTCATGCCTCTCCCCTCACTGCCTCTCCCCTCACTGCCTCTCCCCTCATGCCTCTCCCCTCACTGCCTCTCCCCTCACTGCCACTCCCCTCACTGCCTCTCCCCTCACTGCCTCTCCCCTCACTGCCTCTCCCCTCACTGCCTCTCCCACACCACGCAATGCCTCCTCTGCGCATCCGTCGACCCAACCCCCCTCTTGCCCTAAGTGGAGAAATATGCTTGGGCAGCCTAGCGTATTGCGTATATACGCTAGCGTATAATACGAATACGCTGTACGCTAGCTAAGTACGCAATACGCTAGCGTATTTCTTGGCAGGCAGCCCGGCAAGAAATACGCAAAAAAATATGCGACAAATTTGCGACATGTCCCCTCAGGGATTTCGCCATGTCGCAAACCGAAATTTGGCTTTTGAAATCGTCAACCCAACCCCTTCGCCCCTCCCAACCGCACAGCATCCCACCCTATCTGCGACTTCCAAACAACACCCAAAGAAACCTCCTTCCTCTCCCTCTCTCTACTCTACACCAGCAGGGTTAAGCGCAGTTCTCTCCTACAACGAAATCAGGGTACAAGTAAACTGGCGCGCTAACTTCAGTCATTTCTTCTTCCAAGCTAGCGCGACCAGCTAGCTGGTTTTTTAGCGACTGCTGCTATGTCGACCCCTCCACCTAGTCCTGGTTCCCACGGAAACGACGCGGGAACCTCCCGTGCTGCGTCTTCCTCTGGCGAGCTCCTGGAGAACTCCACCCACACTATCTTTAAGCATTTCAAGTTTAAGCATAAGGAGCACGGCAAGCAGCAAAAGTATTGGTGCAAGTACTGCCCCGTATCCTTTACTGGGACGGCCTGCCGGTGCGCGCAGCACATCACTAGTTGGGATGGTATGCGTAGGCGCGAGGTTCGGAAATGCGAGGAGGTAGGGAAGGAGGAGCAGGCTGCCGTCCGCGCGTTCCAAACCGCCAAAGTGCTTGCGAGGGAGGAGGCGCATAGGGCGGAGGAGTCGGCCCTCGACGCCGTTAGTGGTCGGGGAAAGCGGAAGATCACTGACCCCGTTTGGTGCTCTGCACCCCCCCTCTTCCCTCCCCAAACAGGTTTTTTTTACACCTGCCCGAGTTTTTTTTAGACCTGCCCGCCAGAGCGTATTTCCTAGCGTATCCAATCCCGGAATCAAGCGTACAGCGTATATACGCTAGTGTATAATACGCTAGCGTATGATACGCTGTACGCGTATTTCTCCACTTAGCTCTTGCCCCCCCCACCCATTCATCCCGCCAGGTGGAGCTCTACTTGCTGCCACCCTTCATCTGCTGTATCACCAGCCCCTTGCAGATTGCACCAATCGATGCACATTTCTACTCCCTCTGAGCTTTTCTCTGATTGCCCCCCTGCCAGGTGGAGCTCTACTTCCTGCTGCCCTTCGTCTACTGCGTCACCAACCCGCTCTATCTGCCCTTCGCCCTCGCCTTCTACATGCTCGCCTTCGTTATTTATCGCAACCAGGTCGGTCTGCCCAGGGGCCATTCAGCACAACCCGCCTTGGGTGCTTCTCACTCGCCCCTTCGCCCTCGCCTTCTCTCTTTCGTTAGTTAACCCCATTGTATCCCAGCGACAATGCTCTTGCCGGTGTGCCAGCTGGCGGAACTGCCTCGCTATATTTTCGCCTGTCCCTGTTCCCCTTTCTCGTCTCCCCTCCTTCCTCCCCTCCACTTCCTCAACATCCACTGTCCACTGTCCACTGAGCACTTCTTAAAACATCCCAGCCGCCCAGCACCCCGCTCCACCTTCAACCCTTCCCCCCCATTTCTCCCCGCAGTTCTTCACGGTGTGCGGTGCGCTCTACGGAACGGCAGGGGCCCTCTGGCCTTCTGCTCCTCCCCAGCTTCTCCGCTCCTTTTTTCTCCCTCCTTCCCCGCACCCCTCTATCCCATTCCTCCCCCCACCTCATCAACGCGTTCGTGCGCTGTGCACGCTACTAGGTGGCGGGAGCCTTCTGGCTGCTGCTCCCCACCATCCCAATGCCCTCACCCCCTCACCTCCCACCCCCTCGTCCAATCCCCCTCCCGCCCCCCAGTTCATCAACGTGTACTGTGCGCGCTACGAGATGGCGGGGGCGTTCTGGCCGCACTTCCACGCGCGGCTGGTGGCGGCGATGCTGGTGCAGCAGGTGGCGCTGGTGGGCATCCTGCTGCTCAAGGACTCTAGGACCCAGGCCTGGTGCCTGCTGCCGCTGCCCTTCGTTACGCTCATCTTTCACTACGCCTTCATTGACGGCCAGTTCACCAGCACCTTCTCCAAGCTCGCTCTCGAGGTGGGTGCCCTGCTTGGACAAGGACTTGCGCACGCAGGTATGGCGCCTGCTGCCCTTGGTCGGAGAGTTTATTGACGGGCAGTTCGCCTCGCCTCCACTCCCTCCAATAATACCGCAACACCCCTCACACAGTCTTTATTCGCTCCCCTCCTCCAGTACCACGAGGCCAACCGCAAGGACACCAGTGACCGCACGGTGCACCCAACAAGAATCTGCATGCTCCTTCGTCCCCGATTATCCCCACTCCCTCCCTCCTCCCACAGGAGGCGAATCACAAGGACACCATAGATCGCACGCTGCATCGTAACAAAAAGCCCGTACTCCCTTCCCCCCTTCGTCGGCTCTGGCTCAACCCTGGCTCCCACCATTCCCCGCTACCTTAACCATTCAAACAGGAGGCGAACCGCAAGGACACCATCGACCGCACAGTGAATCCCAACGAGAATCCGCACTCCTTCCTAGCGCGCGCATACCTGCACCCCTCGCTGCAGTCCGCCTTCACTCTGCTGGACGGCGACGAGGAGGAGGGGGGGCACAGCGACGACTCCTCCTCCTCGGATTCAGACAAGGACGGCGATGAGGAAGAGGGCGGCAGGAAGAAGTCGAAGCATGCCGACCGGCATGCAAACGTCCATCTTGTACCGGTTAAGAGGCACCCTTTCTCCACCAGTGCACATGCCTCTCCTGCCATACCAGGCGGTTCGGATGGGTTGGAAAGGGTGGGGAGCAGGAGCTCTCCTCCAAACCTCCGTCCCAGGAGCGTTTCGGAAGGTCCGGTGAGCTCTGCTTCGGCTGCCATGGCTGCAGTCACGTCCGCTGCTGCCACTGCAGCTGCTGCCGCCTTTGCTGCCGCTCGCAGCGCTGCCAGCAGTGGCGGTGCATTCGGTGGTGCTCTGAATTCTGACCGTGGTGCTTCTGACGATGCCAAGTCCCAACATCAACAGGCATGCAATTCTCTACCCCGAGAGGCTCAACTGAAGTGTCTCCCTTTCACTCGTGTGAACTGGTCTCAGTCGTAGTTGACGGCCCCAAGGACCCTTCCCAGAACCTTCCCCTCTCCCCCTCCTCCTCCACCTCCTCTTCTGCCCCCCCTCCTGACTTTCCTGGAGAGGACGGCGCGCTGCAGAGGGGAGCAGCAGCCAATGCGAGGGCGACAGGTGGCAGCAGCAGAGGGATGAGGCCGTCACCACAAACTGCAGGGACAGAGCCGCTATTGGCAGGTGGAGGGGGGGTTGGGAGAGGGGAGAACGGCGGGGAAGGGAATGGGACGAGCAGTGGGAAGGGGAAGGCGGTATCTGTGCCAGCTTTTAGATTATGACCGCTGCAATGAGCAACGCCAGCTCAATCAGCACTGACATGAGAAGCAGCAGTTGGAGCAGACTCGGCAGAAGCATCTGAAACAGCAGTGGGGCATCCAGCAGCATTTCCTCTCACCCATTCTCATCCTCCCACCGCCACTGACTAGATTTCCACACTTTCCACCCCACGTTCCCAGACGCCACCGCATAACTTCAGCCGCTTACTCCCCATGCTCGCACATGCCCACCACCTGTGTTCTCGCATGCCATCATCTCATGCTCTCGCATCGCATCCCACCCTGTTTGAAGCGCGTTTCAACTCCTCTGGGGCCTCCACTGCTTCTCTTGTGGAAACTTACCATGGTAATAAGTATGCATGATGAGTCACTTATTTGACTCACTAAGGGGAAATTTCATAAGGTACTTTGTACAGAATACATGGACGTGAGGATCTGTACGGAACGGAGTCTGGTTTTATCACAGTGTTGCACCAGTGGTCCTTGCTGTAGTAGGGTTCGGGACTTCAATTGCTACACCCCTGACCTCGGACACATCTTCTAGGTCAGGGGCGCGCGTTTCGTTTCGCCGGGTGATATTTCTGACAACGGTCTGCGCCGTGGAGCACAACAATGCCTCCAGCGCGGGCATGCTCCGCTTATGAGCCAACCCGCTGGGCCTCCTTATCCCGCGAATCAATGCCCGAGAGGGAGCGCGCGCGCAACATTGGGTCCCCCCTTCGTGCGCAAGGACCCCGCTCCGCGCCACCTCACCTCCCTCCCGCCGCACCAACATTCGATACAATCACATTCGAAGTCCCCGCCGCGGGGTTTCCCCCCTCCGCGTGCACGCACCCCTTGGCCTTGCGCATTATCCGTCCGCCGAAGGCGTGCAGCAGCAGCCAGGGGTGCGAGAGCAACTTGCTGGCGGACGGTCGTCGCCGCGGGTCTCTCTCCAACATGCACCGAATCAGCCCGCGCGCCTCCGCCGACACCCGCGCGCCCGCCCACGCCGCACACTCTCCCCCCAGATCCACCCGCCCCTTCACCACGCTGTCCAGAATCCCCTGGTCGTCCGGGCCCCAGAAAGGTGGCGACCCGCTTAGCAGAATATGGAGCACGACGCCTAGGGACCAGACGTCAGCGGGGAGGCCGTAATCCCCGGTGATTACCTCCGGCGCCATGTAGTACGGCGAGCCCGCGGGCCCTGTTGTGGTCTCGCCGCGGTCGAGGGGAACCGCGAGGCCGAAATCCGCGAGTTTCATGGAATGGTACGAGCGATGTCTCGCGAGGAATGGCTGAGATTCCTCCAGGTTTTCCGCCGAGTTTGATGCCGGATTTACCGCTGACGTGGTTTCCGATGCGAGGAGCGGCGAGGAGGAGAGGAGGATATTTTCGGGCTTGATGTCGCGATGCATGACGCCGCGCGAGTGGCAGAACGCGACGGCCGACGCCACCTGCATGAACACCTGCGCCGCGTCCCGCTCGCTGAATCGCCCGCGTCGCGCGATTTCGTCGAAGAGATCGCCGCCGTCGCAGAGCTCGGTAACCAGATGCACGTCGCGGTCATCTTCGAACACTGCGTGGAGTCGCATGATGCCCGGATGGCCCATCGCCTGCCGCAGCAGACGCACCTCGCGACGCACGTCCTCGATATCGTCTGCTTCGATAAGCGTCGCCTTTGAAATGGACTTGCACGCGTATTGCACGCCTGTTGATCGGCAAGTGCATCGCCGCACGGTTCCAAATTTCCCCGTTCCCAAAATTCTGCTGTCCATCTCGAAATAATCACCCAATCGTTGACTCGCCTCTGGGAAAACGTAAGGCGATGATGTAGCGGGCGAGGAGCGCGTTGCGTCGCGGCCCCTTTTCGGCGGGCTAGAGGAGGTGTCGAGCTCGCCGTCAAGCTCGTCGGAATACGATTTTCGCTTTCTCGAGTGGCAGCAGCACGTCTGGTTCCGGCGATGGTCTTGGCACGGAGCTGACGCGAGCTGGTGGTAGTCGGCAGAGACCGAACCCATGGCTGTCAGTCAGCTGAAAGAATGAACCAATGAAATGAGGGACTTGGAACCAACCGATGGGAAGCTTGCTTTGAGGACTAATGAGCAAACTAGGGCATTGATGGTGGAGGGGGGGAGCGAAGAGGGAGCACACCAGAAATGGTGGCAGAGGTAGCAGAAATACTTGAGGTGGACCTCGAATGGGTCAACCTAACAGGATCTCCTATTGACGGGTTGATTCATGAGGAACACGTTGGAACGCGTAATGGTGACGAGGGGGGAGGGGGGAGGGAATGGGCGAGAAAGTGGAACGCGACCAGCCCGGCCAGCAGCAGCACCTCTGGGGCAAGCAACACGCATGCGACGCCATACAGCAATCCAGCAAAATAATCGCGGAAACGACGGAAGGGGAGTTCGAAGTTCTGCTGAGTGACGCTCAGGCATGGGAAAGCGGGTGTTACGGTGGCGAAAAGGTTTGTGTGCGATAATGCGGGTAGATAATGAAAAAACGGGCTGGCGAATGGCAGCGGTTCACGCAGAGAGTGACGGAGCAAACTGAAGAGGTGCGGGGCGACAACAATCTGGCGAATACTTGAGGGGGGTGATGATGGTGGTTTCTTTCGCAATGCGATGCGAATCAGTGAAATGAGGGTGGATGGAGGGGTTGTGACTTTTACTTTTTTGTTGGGTAATTGGGAAGTCGGGTGGGCGGTTGACCTGGGTTGGCTCTGCGGGATCGATTGATCCTTGGTTGCCCGCGGTTTGATTCAAGTTCTCCCTGGAGGATCACAAATTTCGAAAGTGGCTACATTGCACAAGCTCCTTATCAACGGCTCAGCGTAGCCTACGGTAAGTAATCGAGGACTTTCAGTGCGTTTCATATTTCCATAACCAAATGAATGAAGTCGTCAGCGTCTGACACGGGATTGGCTTTGAACAAAGCGCATGTCTGACAGAATCTGTCGAAGGATGCAATAATTGTGGAATCGTGTCCTTGAAGCCAACCCAGCCAGCACCAACAATTGCCGAAAAACTGCATCAGAAACAAGTTTGTAGCCGTAACGACTCAAGTACAGTGATATGAATGGGACTGCCGAATAGCGCGGAGGGGAATGGCGAAACTGTGAACGTGTAAGGAATTAGGAATTCCTTACTGAGGCTTGCTACAGAGCGTACGACTCGAACAGTCCCGAATCATCGCCAGGGTTCCAGACCTATCATTTTGAGCCTCCTGGGCCTTTCCGGACCTCGCTACGACACATCGAGGCCCTTCGATACTTTTCCCAAACCTTCCGATCCTACGTCCAAGATCACCCTAGGCTTTCTATATATTGTATTGTCTTTCATTTTATTGTCATTCACTCGTTCACAGTTTCGCCATTGCCCTACGCGCTACTCAGCAGTCCCATTCATAACACTTGGTATTCAGAGCCACTTTCCTCACCCGCTGGGCTTCTGAGGGCAATTTTTTCTTTGGGAGGGGGAGAAGGCAAATGGCGCTACAGAAGGCACAGCGGTTGTCCTGAAGCATGATATGATATGCTTCAACAACTGCGTCTGCGTGGGCTTCTAACAACCGTCGATCCGACCCCAAGGGACGAGCAGGATTTGCTCGGCCATCCCTTCGAGGGCGGTTGTGTCCGTCCTGACATGGCGAAGATTTTGAAGGGTGTTTTCGGTATGTTGTGTATTTCGCATATCCTTAAAAGGGGCTTCGGTTGTAATTTCGGGATTTTCGGCAAGCAGCAACGACGATTCGGATTGGTGTCCGAATGGACCGAGGAGCTCGTCACGAGACGACAAGCTCGCGGATATCCCCAGGCGAAAAGGATTTCGTCAGGAGCGCGCGTAGCAGACGTGCCTGCATGGTGAAGTGTAGCTGATGTCAAGGGCTCGGCGTTTCCGGCAGGCGACACGCAGGTGAAGACGGGACTTCGGATACTGTTCAGCAAACGCGGCGTTGGAGTTTTCGGCACGACCAAGGATCGCACGGCAGCACACGTGGGGCTCAGGCACGGAAAAGTTTCGGGGAGTACTGACCACGATATTTATTCGCGTGACCTGCCCGCCTGGAGGTGTAATTCGTCTGCCCTGGAGCTGCGAGCTCGGCGAGTCTGGATTCCTGCAGAGGAAGCCATTTTCGTGGTCAGAAATTATGCCCCACGATCTACGGAGGATGACCAGCAACTACCCTCGGGTCGAGTTTAAATATCATCGCCGGGTCACCGCTAAAAGTCAACGACGAAGAGCTGTAGCAGAGAAGGAGAACGACTGGGTAACAGCCGGGAAAAAATTAAGAGTCAGCGGCAGACGGATCCTCCGACTGACTTGGCTGGGTCGCCCGATTTTCAGCACCACCACCAGATACCAGTTCGGGTTTAAGACTACTCCGACAGTTCTGGCCGAATAAGGGTGGTGAGTGTGAGAGTACGACCCCGTTACACCACTTGTCCCTTTCCTTATTTCCTTCCTCTTTCATTTCTCTTTTTATCTCATCTCATTTGGTTTCCTATTCTCCATTTTTCCGTTAACCTTTGGTTTATCCTGCTATTATAGTTATATCACCGACCAGGCTTGGGATGTACTGGGCGCTATATCTGGCGTAATCCTGCCGTAATCCCTTAAAGCCAATAGCCTCGCGTGGCTATACGCAGGGTGATTCTATCTTCTAGAAGGGTCTATTCCCTTAGGATAAGATAAACCTGGTTACCTGATGTACTCTGGAAGTATAAAAGCACCTTGTACTGATCGATAGTGCAACCTTTCCTCGAGACATTCGATCCTGTGACACTTGGTAATCAGAGCTTTTCTCACTCAGCCGCGCTCAGCTAAGCAGCAGCAGCGGGGATCCTGCCTCGAAAAACCGCCGGGGGCGACCAATTCGACGCCGATTCTGGTAAGCACCAGCTCCGTGATTTTCGAATTACCCCCCCCCCCCGTGCGTGTTTTGAACAGGATGGCAACCCTCAACAACGCCGAGGTTACCCAGCAGCTCTTCGCGCGCATCGCAGCCCTTCAGGAGGAAATGCGAGCGGATCGCGAAGCGTGGCGAAACGAGTTCGAGCGAGTAACTCGACTCGCCGGAGCGCAGCACGAAACGACAACGGCGACGACGCAGCAGTCGCAGCAGTTTCTCGAGGCTCAGAAACCGCGCCCACCTGAGCCGTTCGATCCGAGCGATCGAAACTCCGACGCCCGCAGATGGATCGCTGAGATGGAGATCTACTTTGCAGCCGTCGGATGGAGCTCGCCGGCCTGGGACAGACAACGTGTACGACTCGCGGCGACACTGATGCGAGGGCCGGCACTCGAGTGGATTGGCGGCAATAGCACCTTCATCCACGGTGAAGCCACGTGGCAACAGTTCCGCGCCGACCTGCTGAAACGATTCGAGCCGATAAATTCGAGTTTCCTTGCCCGGGAAAAAATTCATCGACACCGACAGTTCGGGAGTGTAGCATAGTACACGCAGCAGCTGGAGGAATTTTATAACCGCATTCCCGACCTGACCGAAGGGGAAAAAGTACAGTCGTACCTAGCCGGGCTGAAGACCGAAGTCAAACGACAAGTGGCAGCGTCAAACTACGCGAGCTACAATGACGTCGTATCGGCCGCGGAGCGCTTCGACATGGTCAACGCCGGGACACGACGGACGCACGTCGGCAGTACGCGACAGGGCGACCGCTCGGCTCACCCCACGTTCGCCGACCCGATGGAAGTCGACAGATTCGAGGGGCGGCCACGTCCGAAAAATACCAACTACACGTGTGATTTTTGCGGGGTGCCGGGTCATCGAATTTTCGACTGCAACAAAATGAAAACACACACGCTGAGTATCGAGCACGCAACAGTGGCGGAAATCCTTCGGCCAATCAAAAACCAAAAAACGGGACTCGCAGTGATTGCGGATCTAGCTGGCGAAAAAAGAAAAGATCCGGAAGCGGCCGCGGGATTCCGGGAAAATCAACTTCGACGAAGCTGATTCGACGCGAGAAGGAGGAAATTATGAGGGAAAATCTCCACCCCACGACCAGTCTTCGCCAGGGAAAATCGCCGAGGAAAAATATTACTCCGCGAAAAAAGACTCTGCCGAGACAAGGAAACTCCTTGAAGGCCCGAGAAATTATAAGGATCCGTTAAAGTTATCTTATAAAGATGCTTTAATGAAAACTTATGATTTTCGAGGAGCTAGAGCCTTGGAGAAATTTCGGGAGGGACTCCAAAAGAAGCAAACAGCTGTGGAGATTATACCGGTACCGGAAATCTTGGGGACCAAATAAAGGAGTGTGGAAAGAAGCCGACCTTTCCACGGAGTCAACGTCCTCTCCCGACACCAGCCCACAACGACTACCCGTTCCCCAGGGAAGACGTCGGTGGAGCTTAAGCAGCTCAAGAGGAAGCTCGGGGTCTACAAGAAGCTGCACAAACCCCGAACTCCTCCTATGGATGCATCCAGTTCTTCGGCATCAGTGACGCGCACAGTCGTCAAGGAAAATCCGGGCCCTGGAGAAGAGCTGTTCTCCAAGCAGCCTCGGCCAGCTGCCAGCTCAGGAGTAGATAGCAACACAAAGGTGTGTACGGAATATTGGGATGTACCCTATGACCCAATCAAGGAAACCATTTTTGGGTACTCCGAGCAACGCCTGCCCCTCGTGCTCGAGGTCATCTGCAAAGGACGACGCCTCCAAGCACTCGTGGACACCAGAGCATCACACACCGTCTGCGACAAGGCAGTAATCGACCAAATTCGGGAAGAGTACAAGCCTTCAGGATTCTCTGCAACGATGGTGGACGGCAGCAAATTACCAGTACACGGCGAAGCAGTGCTACACCTACAAATTGGACCACTGCGCTGGAGACCTGCACTCCCCATCACCAACATCAAAGGGCTTGACTTGATCTTTGGGCGAGAATTCCTAAAAAGATTCAACCCCGAGATTAACTGGGTGAGTCGCAACGCAAGTATCTACAACAATGGACGGAGAGTACAGCTACCCAACTGGGACGATACAGGAGATATCCCAGTGGAGACACTCGCACGATTCGAGAAGGACGTGAAGCGAACCGACACCGGGTTCCTGGCGATAGCAACAGAGGTGGAGAGTGACGGAGAGAAAGCCTCGGAACCTCCAGAAAAAATCAAGGATTTACTGAAAGAGTTCCAAGACATTCTTCCTGACGATCTTCCGAACGAG